ATTTGGTGCATCAAACAAGCCCTTAGAGTATTTTAATCTTCAACAATAACAAAATCATCAAGTAGACTATTTGAGCTTTAATATTTTCATGGTTGAGAATGTTAATAAATTATAAATAGACAGAAATGAGTAGTGAATAAGTGAATAAAAACTAATTTGAGTACTTATAAATGATTTATAAAACATAAGCCAAACGTTAAATTTCTTAGAAACACTGTTATAACGTTGTTTTTAACTTAAAACGGAAAAATAATATAATCAAGTAATGAAAATAAAAGGGAAAAAGGAAAAGTGAGAAAAAAGAAGAGGAATAAGAAGAAGACGACTTTACTGAGGGTAGGAGGGTTCAAACGGGGGGACATGGCTGGCTAGATGAGGTGTTTACCCCCATAGCATTTGGGATTCTGAACCAAGGGTAGGTAAGCCAACAGTTGGATTGGGCGACCCTCCCAACCTCGTCATGTCAAAGATTTTCGAGAGTTAAAGTAGGGAATACTTGTTTTTCCATTTATTTAATAGAATATGACGGTACAATTAAAAAACACACAAATAAAATGAAATGCAATAGTCGAGACGAGGCAACGTTGGAAGGACATTTTGGAAGCTAGATTGAGCGAGGGTGAGATGGTATGAGAGAAAACTCACATATTTTCAATTTTTCTTCTTTCGCTCATTTCATTTTTTATTTATATTTTATTCAAGTTATATGTAACTTTAATGTGACATTTTAACGGTCAAACAAACAGTTTCAATCTATTGACTTTTTATGTGATAAAAGTAAAAAGTTTATTGATTAATACATATGAAACGGAAGTTCGAGATCTAGTTGCTACATGCCTTACTATGAGATGTGCGCAACTTAAACATTTTCAAGCGCAAAAATTGATTGAATTGGAATTCCACTTAACTCAAATTGCAATTTTCATGTCTTCGTAAATTTGTTTTTTAATGGATCGCATCGTTATTCATGTGAAACATGTAAAATATCTAGTTGCACTCAAAAAAGAAAGTGTTTAAATCGTGTAGCATCCTACTGAAAAATTGAGCATCGTCGTTATCCGAAGTAGGTGCATAAAAAATTTAAGCATGAAAATTTTCAAACACAAACTCCCCCTAAGC